TCGGCCTCCTTTTAGTTTGGACGAAATCCCAAACTTAAATAAGCTTAGAAAACCCTAAAATCGAATTTTGGAAATTTTCCAAGATCCCGGTCCGCCGGACCAGGAGCTTGGTCCGGCGGACCAGGCTTAGTCTGAGGATCGCGGACCGCTTGACCTGAAGGCTTGGTCCGGCGGACCACGTGTGGTCAGCTCCGGACCAAGACCCTTCTTGGTCTTTCCGGTCCGCCTGGCTTCAGTCTCGGTCTGTCTGATCCAATGTCTGGTCCGCGGCTGACCAACTCTTGGTTAGCCGGACCAGACTTGGACAGATAACCTCCTGACTAACTTCCGGACCTCCTGGGCTGACCGACTTGGTCCGGGGCTGACCAAACTTGGTCAGCTCCGGACCAACGCACTGAAAATTTCTTTTCATGCTCGTTTCGGTCAAATCTCGTTTCCATTCTTCGTATTCCTCACGTATAAGTCCATCCCTAGTGGTGTGTGACCCTGTAGGCCCATTCTAAGTGGCAGTGACTTTGGGAACCTTTCCCGAACCACAAGTCATGGTTAGCCTCTAGCAAGACGCCATGACCACCCACTTAGAATTGAGTTAGAGGTGATCTAACCAAGGCATTAACAGCTCGAATTCTGATCCTTTGTCTCACGATATCATAAGTTGAACAATGGCATGGTTTGAGCCACCCTTCAAGTTCAACCGCTTTCTCGTCTTGGCGAATCGACTAATAAAATAGATGCAACTTCATCTATAACGTGGCCACGCATTTTTCATAGTCCGACTTCCCACGAGAGGGCCCAACGATATATCTCCTGTTAAGGAGATGACAAGTCCCATATTGCATGTATACTATCTCCATATGATTCGTGAACGTATCTGATCAACGTCGTTATAATCATCCGGTTAAAGACGAAGTTTGACGCAGTCAAGACACGCCATTCCTCATATCAGATACTCTAGACATCTCAGGTATGAGGATCTAAGAACGAACCGTTGTATGAGATTCAAGTCATGACTCTGTCCATGTGACAATCTCATGTGGGTCATCCAGTCACTCGTTCACAACGAGTACCCATGATTGTGATCTGCATCCAATTCATTGATCACACCTCATACTAGTCTTAATTCATCATTGTTCCCACAACGATGACTGACTAGGGAGTTTAGAATAATTCTGTAATGATTCAAGGATACCGAAATACAACAAACATGCTAATCGTATAACGGGAAAAATAATGCATTCATAAATCAATGAATCAATACAAAGTCAAATGTCATATCACGGATTATCCTAGAGCATTACAACCAACAATCTCCCACTATGCTCTATGATCTATCCTACAAGCATCTAATCCCCATACCCTTAACATGACCATCCTGCTTTGACGAAGGAAGATGCTTCGTCAATGGGTCGATAATATTATCATCTGTCGACACTCTGCTTATCTTCA